CGGACCCTCCCATGCCCGCGGACCACCCGGCCGCGCCCCGCCCACCCCGGCTCCGCCCGCGTCCCCAACTGGGCCTGGAAAACAGGCTGGACCCCCGGAGCGCTTACCCCGCTCCAGACCCAGCGGCTCCACCAGCGCAGCCATATCTCCGCCGCCGCTAGCAGCCCGCCCCGGCGCCGGCGGGAGGGAGGTGCTGCCCGAGGCCCCGCCCGCCCGGTGCTCGCGGGGAGGGCTTCGCGAGGCCCCGCCCACCCAGAAACCTGCCGGCCCTGGCGTCCTAAATGCTTCTACCAGCTGCCGGGATGAGTCTGTTCTGGTTGCCCTCTACCTGTCACAGCCCCGTGCTCCCCTCCAACCTGTCGGTCCCCTTCCTATCCTTTCCCCACATTCCCGCAAACAGCAACGTGGGTGCTCATGTCTGTCAGTCATCCCAGCACTGATGCAAGAGGATCGCCTCGACTTCGAGGCTAGCCCAGTCTCAAGACACTAGGAAAACAACAAAAAGTGAGGCTGAAGATGTCAGTTGGTCAAGTGTTCACCTAGCTTGCGTGACGCCCTGAGGTGAATCCACAGCAGCACATAAACCTGGCGTGGTTGTGTACTCCTGTAATCCCAGTACTCAGAAGTGGAGGCAGAAGGATCAATGTTTCAGGGTCATCCTCGGCTAACAAGTGAGCTTGAGACTGTCTCAAAGTACACGCACAGAAAGATAGACAATAAAAACAACCTACAATCAGAACCTGCATGTCCAGCATCTCCTGGACCAGAGGCACTGCCCAGGAGCCCACTGCCCTAATGGCTGCAATGTGGTGATAGACTAAGAGCAAAGAGATTAAATTCTGGAGTCTGGACGTTGGTACAGACAGGAGAGGTAAGGGCAATAGCCCTTGGACCTGGGTCACCCCACTGCCAACCACTCAGAAAGTACCCACGAGGCTGAGGCAAGCCGTGGATGGGTAGCCTTGTGTTCTTTGCATGTTGGATCTTAAGGAGATCCCTTAAGGATGAAATGATTCTGGGGCAGAGAGACCTGGAGGACTGCAGGAGACATGGAGGGTGCCTGTGGGGATGTGGGAGATTGCAGCAGAGCGTTGAGGCGTGTAGGCTGCCCTTTGCTAGGATAGTGGCTGCTGGGGGCGGGTGCTGATATTTGAGGATCCTGGCTGAGGATGTGGCTCAATTGCTAGAGTGCTTGCCGAGCCTGCACAGGCCCTGGGTTCAATCCTGGACTGCATAGATGTAGATAAGACTTGTGACAAACCCCGCTGTTGGGTTACAAGCTCTTGGTTAGGTTAGATGGGGATGTGGGGCCAAAATAGGGCTTGTTCCAGGGAAGGGGAAAGAGCAGGCTTCTCTCTCCACTACAGTGCAATGACAAAATACACCAGCCGCTCTCTCCTAATTCCACCCAAATTTAGTTTTGACACAGGTTTCAGGGAATGCAAGACAGCCTCAAACGTGCCATGTTCTCCCTGCCCCAGCCTTCCAAAGGATTGCAGGCATGAGCCACTGGGCCTGGCTTAAATCTGAACCAACTCCAGGCATGTCAGGTTATTTAGTATTTCTTTATTCATAGACAGGGTCTCACTAGCTGGCCTGGTAACGCCTTCTATGGACCCAGGGATCTGTCTCCCCAACCCAGACCCCTCCAACCTTAGTGCTGGGATTAAAGGTATTAACCATCTAGCCAGGGTTTTATGGGTTTTTTGGCTTTTTTTTAAAGGCAAGATCTCCCTACAGACCAGGCTGGCCTAGATCTCACAGAAATCCACCTGCCTCTGCAACCCAGTGGTGGAAGTAAAAGCATGAAGCACCACTTTTTGTGAACTCTTGTTTTTGAGGTTGTGTGTGTGTGTTTGCCTGAACTGGCCTTGAACTCAGAGAGATCCACCTGCCTCTGCCTCCCAAGTGCCAGGACTAAAGAGGAGCACCGTCAGGCCCAGCTTTTGCTTTTTTGGTCAGTTCTTGTGAATTCTTAATGAGAAAAATCAAAATTATATACTTTTTTTTTTGGTCTTTTTGAGACAGGGTCTCCCTGTAGCTCCTCCAGCTGTCCTGGAACTATGTACACCAGGCTGGCCTTGAACTCAGAGATCCACCTGCCTCTGCCTCCCGAGTGCTGGGATTAAAGGCATGCACCACCATGCCCAGCCTGTGGACAATATTCTTAGAGGGGGGCCAAGCTGTTTTTTCGTTCTAACAGGGTTTCCCTAGTCCTGGCCTGCCTGGAAGTCACTATGTGAACCAGGCTGGTCTTGATTTCACAGAGATCTGCTGTCTCTGCCTCCTGAGGGCTGGGATTAAAGGTGCATATCACCACACCAGGCATCTAAACTGTCTTATTTGAAGAGCTCCTTGCTTTTTCTGTGGTTTTCATTATTTCCCCATTTCCATTTTCTTGCCATGCCTCAGCCACAACAGCATTTTTTTTTTTCCAACTTGTTCTATAGGTCCTGACTAGCCTTCAATTTGTGACCCCCTCCTCACACAACTGGCTTTAATCTTTATAATCCCCAAACTTGGAAACTTGTCTTCTTGCCAGCCTGGACCAGCTACTCTAGAAACTGCCTTCTGGAGACTTCCATCCCTCCTTGCTCTTTTGAACTTTCTCTTGAACCTTCATTTTAGACACATCTGCAGTTAATGCCTGTCACAGTCCACTCTTCTAGAACCTCCAGTGTTCACGAGAGAAATTTGGGTTTCCTAGGGTCCAAACTGCGAAGCCCACCCACAAGATTCTAAAAGTTACTGCTGTCCCGTTCTTTGATCAAGATCCAAACCTGCTAAAACTCTTCCCTGAGAAGTTCTGCTCTTCTGTTCAGCATCAGCACCATCACCTGGGCTATTGTCTGCTCTACTTGGTTTCCCACAGGTCCACTTCTTGACATGCCTGGTAATGGGTCAATGCTGAACATGGATGACCTAACTCCTGCTGAGATCTTTGGTACACACAATTTCAAGATGGCTCCTCCTAGTTCACCATTTAAGAGGGTCCAGCCCATGGTCACTTGGTCCCATATACCTGAGTTGAACATCATGGGGCACACACCAGGAAAAGGACAAGGGACAGAGAATATTTTCCTAAGAACCTACCCCCACTGACCCTTCTTCCAGCAAGGTCCTGCCTCCTAAAGTTCCCCAACAGCTGGGGACCAACGTCCAACGTAACATAACTCAAACTTTATCAATGCCCTACTTGGGAATTCTGCTCTGCAGAAGTGAATTTATGGACTAGGCACACTTGAGACTTTGTTCTTTCGGATCCTGGGTCCCCTGTGCAGTTCAGGTGAACCTTAACCATATAGCCAGGCTGGCCTCAAACTCCTGCCTTGGCTCCTGAACTGGAATTCCAGGTGCACACCACTATACTGCACCCAGCTAGGACTGCTACTTCCTGCCAAGACTTTTGACTCCTTGGTGCCCAACCAGCATCTGCGAGCAAAACACAAGCAGGCTAGAAAAGGTGCAGCCTGCAGTGTGGTCTGCACCCATGTCCTCCAGTGCCTTTCAGCTTCCTGCAACTGGTGTGGGCCACAACAGTCCCAAATGAGGAGCAATGCATGACACACTCATAGGAACACAAGGAATCCTTTTTACCCTGGATGTTTCAGGACCAGTTTTCCTGTTTGTCTGCAGTCCTGAGGTCAGTTTTCAAGTGTCTGAGATCCTTCGTTGCATGGAGCCCTTAGGAATGAGGAGCTGGAGACGACTCAGCAGTTAGGAACACTGGCTGCTCCCACAGCCCACATGGTGGCTAATTGCCCCCAACTCCAGTTCCAGGGTGTCCAACGCCACCTTCTGGTCTCTGCAGGCACTGCACAAGAGCGTACTTGTACACAGGCAGAACGTCTACACATAAAAATGGTCTCCACATGCCAGCATGGAGGCAAGACTTCTGCTCTTGTCCTGGCCCACACTTCAAGGCTGTGCCAGGTCAGCCACCACCTCCTCAGGGCTTACAAGACACAAAGCTCTCACAGGCTTCCTCTCCTATCCAGAAATGTGGACATTTCAATTGCTGATGGCTGTTTCTGCTGGGTATTTTGTTGGCAAACATCATGTCCAAACACCTGCACTTGCAGGGCAGGTTTTTTGCCCTCCTGTTCCCTGCTCACTTGGAGCTGCAGCTTCTGCCGTTAGACCCAGGTCCCTTCAGCTCTCCACTACACCAGGATTAAGAGCTCACCAGGCTCTTCAGAGTCCAGGGCTCTGGGGAGGGCTCCCAGCCTCACCTGCTAAACAGCTCTGGCAACATGGGAACAGCCTCCACACCTCAGGTCCTGGAAACCATACACTAAGTGGGGCTGTGCAGTTAGGTGATAACCTTCTAGAATGAGATCAAGAGCAGTAAGAAACCCAGGTGCCCACCATCAACAGGAAATTAATTTTATTTTAAATTCAAGGGACCAGAACAAATAAATTCTACCCTCAAAGGGCAAGCCAAGGTGGAAAGGCTGGGGAAGGCAGACAGCAAGAGGCTAGGAGCTTGTCCACAGCACTGGAGGCATCTTCACTCGGGAGCTGCCTCCATCAGGTACCCGTTCTCCGGAGCCATGTACCCGTCACCACCCTCCGCCTCCATGTACATGTCTCGGGTGTCACTGCCCAGCCCTTCCAGCCCATTGTCCTGACCACTGCCACCCCCACCCCGGGTCTCATCCCTGCCCCGCTCACTGCCCCGATCCCCCCTCTTGTGCTCCCGGTCCCGATCCCGATCTCTGTCCCGGCGCCTCTCGCGCTCACTCCGGTGGCTCCGCCGTCGATCCCGGTCGCGATCTCGGCCCTTTTCCTCCGGGCCATCAGGACCATCAGGGCCAAGCTCCCCAGGAGGCCCATCATCAGGAGGCGCATCACCAGCTTCAGAGGGCTCGGCCATGTCGCCACCGCCGCCACCACCACCTCCACCACCTCCACCTCCTCCTCCTCCTCCTCCACCTCCCCCACCACCACCCCCACCACCAGCCTCCTCCTCCTCCTCCACCTCCACCACCACCACCACCACCACCACGCAGCTCCTCCTTCCGTTCCCGCTCCCTGCGTGCCCGTTCCCGGCTCCGACTGCTCCGCCTCTTGCGGTCTCGGTCCTTGTCCTTGCTCCTCTCCCTGGAGCGTCGCCTCTCGTCTTTGTCTCGACTCCGAGAGCGCCTCCTTCGGTCCCGGGAGCGGGAGCGTCTCCGTTCACGCTCTTTGTCTCGCTCTCGGCTCCGTTCTCTGCGCTCCCGCTCCCGCTCGCGGTCCCGGTCTCTGTGTGGAAGGGGAGAGGGGCCCGGCCTACATGAGGTTAGCACTGTGCTTTGGGACATCCTATCCCTATCTGCCCCGTCCCAGGAACCCAGGTGCCTAATCTTACCTCTCATCATAGCGGGAAGTGTCATCGCGGCCTGAATGCCGGATATTCACATCAGCCCCACCTCTTCTGGTACCTCCAAGGCCACCTCCTGCAGGCCCAACACAACACCAGGTCAGTGGAAGTAGGGCACACACAGGCAAAACTGAAAGGAGGGGCCTGAGCAACATGCAGAAACGAAGCACCTCTGCTGGCACTCATGGGCCCAATCCCACGTCAATCATTTTCATGCTCTCTTGTTACAGGACAGCCAATGTTCTGCAGACACTCATTGGTGTCCACAAGGTACTTCCTGCAACACCAGACAGGAACCCTCCAGCCTCCAAAGCCAGCATATGGCAGCTGCACAGCCTCAAAACCACTCCCCTCCACCGCCACCCAATGCCTGAAACTGTAGGCACCAGATTTAAAGTGTGAACCAGCTTTAAGCTGGAAACTGTTGCACCGAGCTTCCCAAGAGCCCCTCACCTCCAGCCTCCTCAGTGCCTTCTGCTCCCCAGAATTCCCATCAACTGCATACATCTTCAGCCTGAAGGGCTCCTGCCCTCCTTAAATCTGTACCTCCTACTGGTACCCTGTCCATCTAGTAGAATCTGTCCTGCCCACACTAGGCCACCCCCAACTGCATCTTCACAGGTCCCCAAGGCTCTGTCACTCAGCTTTTAAAAAGCTCAATGATTTCACAAGGTGACCACTACCCAACACTCCTCCCTCCAGATCTTGATTCACCACAAAGACGGTCTATGCTTGGCTTTGCCCACCGTTGTAGGCATGGGCAGAATACCAGTCTAGAAAGGTGATGTATAGCTGACCAAGGACCCTAGGGGACAGGTGGCACCCTCATCTTTCAGATGGAGAAACACTCGGGAACTACTTGAGCCTGGTGACTTGCCAAGGGCTCAGAGCAGGAAGCAAATCCCAGGCCTGAGGCTGCTTGCAGTCTCCTGTACCACCTGGCTAGGGAGCACTCCAGGAAGGCCAATGTGAGTTCCACAGAGATGAAGGGAAGAGGCAGGCCAGGCTGTTAAGCTAGGCACAGGCAGCAGCAGGTTGGACTGCTACAGAGGAACAGGACCCAGGCTTCCAGTTGTTGGGGCATAACCCAGCAATGGGCTAGGCTATCTATATGACGGGGTGTCAAAGGCATCTGAATAAACAAAAACAACACCCTGCTCCTGGGACACCAAGTGAGTTCCTCTCTCTGCTCATCACACTCTTCCCTATTTCTGCCTTGCTGCAGGCCCAGAAGCAACAGAGCCAGCTGACCATAGGCTGGAACCTCTGAAACAGAACCAAACAAACATCTCTTCCTTTAAAATAAAGAGCTAGGCATGGGAGCACAAGCCTTATTAATTTCAACAGTCAGAAAGGAATTCAGGTAGGAGGATTGCTATGAGCTAGAGGTCACCCTGAACTTCCAAGTGAGACCCTGCCTCAGAAATCCACAAATTGTAAACTACTAGTACACGTGGCATGTGGAAAAGTGTTGCACAAAGCTTCATCTCTATTGTGTCTACCATATACAGCTAAAGACAGCCCCTACTGTCAGCAAGTCTGAATCAGGACGACAGACGCTGGCATACCCCAAGGGTAGGCCTACATAGCACAAGTGGCCAGGTGAAAGTCAGGTGAGGGAAAATCGAGGCAATGCTGCCCAGGGCAGAGCACCCTGAGTACTGACACCTGGCACATACCAACAGAACATCCATCTAAGCACAATGCTTCAATGTCCAACCACAGGTCCTCTGGGGGGGTCCACTGGCACCACAGGCCTTGGGACCAAAGTACAACTATAAAAGTCCTGCCATTAGCAGGACCCCTATGCTTTAGGAAGCCCCAATGTACTTCAAGACTTGCCACAACACTGACTGTAACAGAGATGGCCAAGACGACTAGCCGCTCCTGCTCCAGGGCTCCACACATGAAGCATGAACTGCAGTGTGGTAACTCGGCAGTACTAGGCAGTAAATGAGCCAACCCCTGAGAGCAGGAGCAAAGCCAGAACCAACGAACAACACCTCAAGCCCCACCACGTGACACCAGGAGCTCTGGGCATCACGAGGCTGAGCCAGGACTTGGGGGTTACTCCCATTGCACAAGAGGAAAATGAGATGGAAGGAGCTGTTGCTCGCTCACCCATAGGAGAGGCCAGGGTGTCTGCATGTGTATCCACACCCAGAGGCATAGAGGTGCTGAGAGATGGACTACAAATGAGGGAGCAGACAGGAGGCAGAGACTGAAGCAGAATTAGGACCACCACAGGTCTGAGCACCCAGAGGGCAGATGGCACTTACCTAGCCGCCGGGGCCTCCAGCCCTTCACGGTCCGGCCCCTCTCCACATCCACAAGGACCCTTCTGCCATCTATCTTCTTGCCATCTGCGTGCTTGTAAGCGGCTGCAACAGATGTGGGGGGGGGGGGGGACGTCCCGCCCCCCCCCCCACCCCCAAGGCGCCCTCTCCGTTTTTTTTGTTGCCCCTGTGGGTTTTTGAAAGGGGGGGAAAAGAAGGGGGGGGGGGGGGGGAAGAGTCCCCAGAGGATCCTCTAATCAGGACAAGGTTCCACACAGTAGCAACCCTGCCCATCAGACCTCATTCATATGCACACGCACACGCGCACTCCCACCAGACAGCCAGGCAACCGACAGCCAGACAGCCCTCTCCCCACCCTGAGGGGCCTGCTCCATCCAGTGCTTGATGCCTTAACACCCCCAATTGCTATTGGGGGGCAAAACGTTTACCCTGGCCACCCCCGGCTTCCCTATGATGAAGCAGCCCCCTCCTGCCAGGGCGGCCAAAGTTGCTGCAAAGAAACTGGAGGTTAGCTGAATGCTGGCCTCTGCTGTGGGGAGGGCTCCTCCACACCCAGGCATGCACCCTAGACACCATGCTGGGGCAGGAGGCCCAACTGGGCCCCTCCACACCCCAGACCACACCGGTTTTCTTTTTCTGTATGTTTTCTCAGTGGAAAGTCAGAGTGAGGAACAGACATCAGAACAGAAAATGAACCAGAAGGGGGTAGGAGATCTTCAGGAACTGGCAGGGGTGAAGAGGTGGGTGCTGAGCTCCTCAGGGGCCTCCATGGGCCCCTGGTGGGACGCAGATGGGAGACATGAGATGCTATTCAAAATCCCTGCCTTACCTGAGCCGACTGACCCTGCCAACAACTAACCCTGCCAGCTCTGCCTTCCATGCCCAGACAATGGCCAGCCAGCCCGGCCAGAGCTGTCAGGTAAGATAATGAGCAGAGGACAGAGGAGTTGGCCTAGGGCTACTCCTGGCAGGGCACAACCCAGGGCACACACAGGCCCATGATCAGGCAGAGCTGTCCAGAAAGCCAAAAAGTCCCTGAGCCCATCCCAGCCCTGATTTAAGGGGCTGTGCTCAGTCAACCATAATACCCTGCCCCACCCCAGCCCGTCCCCCCCCCAAATAACAACCAGAGGAAGAGAAAAAGGTGCCATTTACCGATGCCGGCCTTGCGGGTGTCCAAACCGAGCGGGATGGGGGGGGCTCGGCAACTCCTGGGGGCCTGGCGAGGAGGCGGGCTTCCCGGGGGGGGGACACGGGACTGCTTACCTGGAGCCCCCAAGCTTACCTGAGCACGCGCACAGACCCCACACCCACCACCATTGGGTCTGCTAAAGCTACAGGGAAGGGAAATGAGGATCTTGGAACCCTGAGAGAGAATGACAGTCTCCCACACCACCCAGAGACAGGTGGAGGAAGGAAATGGGGGTGGGCTTCAGTACCTCATGGAGGACTGACACGAGTCTGGGCTAGAAGCCCCGGGCCTATCTGCTTGGCCTTAAACAGCAGGCCAAGAGGCCTTGCAGCACCTGTCACCTCACCACTGCCCAAAACCATCACACTCCACTAGGCACAGGTCCACCCTCAACACTGGGGCCAGACTTTCCCACCTCCAACTCTTGAGTGCCCTCCCACTTGTGGTGGCAGCTCTGAGGCTGGCACGCAAGGACACACCCAGGGTCCAGGAAATGGAATGCTGCCCATGTTCCAGGAGGGGCCGACTGGCCCCTGACTCCAGAGCAGGGTGGTAGGAGAGGGAATTGAGGACCAAGGTCAGTCAAGTCAAGGAACCCTGCTCAGGTTCCCATCCCAAACCCCAGGAAAGGCCCAACCCAGAGAACAGCAAGGTGACCGTGTGATTGTGTCAGTCTAGGCTTCTCTCTCTTTCCCTCTCTTCTGCCTCAGAGTGCAGATTAAGTACAGACCACCACACCTTCAGTTGTTTGAGGCCTGCTCCACCCCTCCCATACCCTGAGCCCCAAACTCATGCACGTCGGGGAGCTCCTAACCAGCTCTGGAGAGCAGGCGCTGGGCACCACAGCTGCCTTCCCTGAGGAGGCCCCAACCATGCTAACAGGAGGGGCACAATACCCCAAACCAGCAGGCACACTCTCCAAGGTCACTATAGTGACAACCCCACAACAGGCATGGGGCAGGGAGGGACAGGCTGAAGGGCTCCACTTGGAGCCCTGGCCTCAGACACCCCGGCTTCAGGAATGCCAACACCTGGCTTGATGTCAGGGCTGGGTGGAGCCTGACAATGGAGAACGTGGCCTCTCCCACCGGAGGTCCTCCCTTCCCCTCAGGATCAGTGAGATTACCAGAGAGCATGTGGATGGGGGTAGGTGGGGTGGAGGGCACCCAAATGAGGAAAGGGCTGTAGGTGAGGGGAGACTAAGGGGTGGCTGGGGTGGGAGGGGGCGCCTCGCTGTTCCTGAGCTGCCTGGCTAAGCTGGGCTGGTGTGCGGTGCTGTGATCTTACCCATGATACAAACCCTTATACCAACCATACACTGAGGTGTTGTAAGGGGAGCGTAAGCATCAGCTGCAAGCCAGCTGCGTGGTGGCTGCAGTGACAATAAGAACAGTCAATTAATACGGCGGCCCCTGGACACGCCGCAGCCCTGCCACCCCCTCCCACCCAGCCCTGCCCAGCAGACGTCGCGCAGCCTCAAAGGGGCTTTGGAGCTGTGGGAGTGGGTGCCTGACATACCCATCAGCCCACTGCCTGATGAGAACGGGGTGAGGGTTGGGGTGGGGAGGTGGAGGGTCGGGTGGCCCAGACCAGCTCTACTGGGGAGAAGAGAGGGCCGGTACAAAGGCCAGCCCTCACTCCAACCTGGCCTCCCCCAACTCCAGTGGGGGGTTAATGGGGAGAGACTCCCCCAACTCCGACCCCTCCCCCCACCTCCAGCTGGCCCCAGCCCACACCCAGTGCCCTCCTGGCCCCTGAAGTTCAACGTGTGACACTTACCTCCCCAGGCTCATACACACACGTTGTGGGGGATTTGGTTTTTGATTTTTAAAAAACACGTATATATAAAAAAAAAAAAGATATATCAGAAACAGAGGGAGAGGAGAAGAGACAACGCTAATGTCAGGTGTGGCGGGGGAGGGGACAGACGACGGGAAGAGGCCGGGCAGCAGAGGTGAGTGGGTCAGAGGAAGGTTGCAGCATGGATACTCACAGTGCATGTCTCGTTCATGCTCGTACTCGATGAAGGCATAGCCACGGGGCTTTCCGGAGCGCTTACTGTACACCATGTGGATCTGTGGGGCAGGAGGTAAAGAAGACAGCCCCATGGGTTTTATGGCCACCCTGTCCCTCACAGAAGTGCGGCAAGTCCTGGGCTGGGAACACCAGGGACAGATCTAAGTACTTGTATTTGTCCTTCAAGAGCACCAAGTGCAGAGGTAGCCCTTGGGAGGTTGAGATAGGAGGACTGTGTGAGTCTCAAGTAGAACAGCAGTTGCTCCAAGGCCTGGGGACCCCGGAAGACAGACTTGGGGAGGCTGTGGGAGCAGCTGTATGTGGTGGACTGAACATTCTAATGGCAGAGAAACCCTCAAATCCACAAAGCAGGCAGGCACTGAGTCAAGCACTCCCAAAGCTCAGCCAGTGAGGGATGAGAAATGTGCCAAGAAAAAAGTTGGACAGTATGGACAGTCCACATAGACATAGGGAAACAGAGGGAGCCCTGCCTACCACCAGGGCAGGAAGCTCCTGAGAGGAAAGAAAAGGAATGTGCAGACGTACAGCCGAGCATCTGGGAAGGCAGGGCGGCCAGAGGGTGCAGGAAGGCCTCTGAAGGGACAGTACAGGAATGGGGAGCAGATGGCCACATAGGCACATAGGGCCACAGTGTAAAGGCCATGGAAGGGCAGGCTGAAGCTTCTGGACCCTGATCCTGTATGCCAAGGACATAGGAAGCTGAGAGCAGAGAAACAAGGTCTAGACAGGACTGCTGGGACAGATAGGCAGGGCAAAACAAAGACTTTTGTGAGATGACAGGATTTGAGGGACTCCCCAAGGGATGGTGGGCTTTCCATAGGTATGGTCCTAAGCTTGGCTCTAGGACTTGTAACCTCTAAAACTCAACAAGATTCCAAAAGGACCAGCAGAGCAGAGGAACAGAGTAGAGCCAGTCTCCATCAAGCCTCAAACAGCAGGGGCCCGTTTCCAAGACCAAAGAACTAGGGATAGGCCAGCAAGGCCCAGCCAACGCCGGGCACTAGGCAGGGCAGACTGTCCACTATGAGCACCAGGCCTTACTTTGTCACCCAGGAGAAGAAATTAAGGCAGAGTAGTTAACTGAGTTTCAAAATAGATGAAGAAATGTCAAAGCTCTTCCCTAAACAAGAGATGATAGCCTGTCTTGTTTTTTTTGTGGTATGGTTGTGTTGAGACAGGGTTCCTGTAGCCCCAGCTGGCCTGGAACTCTCTGTGTAGACCACGCTGCCCTTGATCTCACAAAGATCGGCCTGCCTCTACCCCCCAAGTACTGGCATTAAAGGCAGTGCCATCATGCCCAGCAGAATGCTTCTAATAGAGTCAGACAGCAGATACTTCAGAGTAAGAGTCACAAAACAGTCTGTCGTGGGTACCCTACCCAAATCTGCTTCACAGCCAACTGCAGCTGCAGACAGTATGGAATGGAGGTTTCCCCAAGCTACATAATAAGTTCAAGGCCAATAGGACAACTTAGCAAGACATTCCAAAATAAATGAACAAGCTGGGCATGGTGGCTCATGCCTGCAATCCCAGCACCTGGGAGACTGAGCTAGTCTGAGTGAAGAGTGAAACCCTATCATAACAAATAATGAGCAAAAGACTGGTAAAGGGGCTGGCACATGGGCCTTCCTTGGTAAAGTGATGGTCTAGTATGCATAAAGTCCCAGGCTTCATCCTCACACTGCACCAATTATGATTGTATACACCTGTAATCCCGGCCCTCTGGAGGCGGAGGCAGGCAGATCTTAAGCTTAAGGCTATCCCTGGCTACACAGTAAATTCAAGGCCAGTCTAAACTATATGATAACGTTTCAAAAGAGCCAGTGAGGTATCTCAGCTGGTAAAAGTGCTTTCCACCAAGCACGACAACCTGAACTTGATTCCAGGGACCCAGACTGTAGAAGGAGAAAAGGCCTCTCACAAGTGGTCCTTCCACCTCTATAGATGTGTCCTGCCCCCTACAATGTAAGCAAAAATAGAAGCTAAGAACAAGAGCTGAGGATATAGTTTGGCAGCAGAGTGGTTGCCCCACATATACACTGCTCTGGATTTAACTGCAGGAGAGAAAAAAAATCTCATGAAGCTCTGGGTGTGCAACTAGATCTCAACGCTAGGGTACTGGACACAGAAGGTTTAGGAGTTCAAAATCATCCTCAGCTATACTGTGAGTTTGAGGTCAGCCTCAGATGCATGAGACTGTATCAAAAACAAAACAAAACAAACCAACAATATAACCCTTAGGAGCACACCTACAGCTTGCTAATCTTGTCCTTAAATCCACAGGGGGTCACTTCTGTCACCCCTGCTATACAGTTTGCATATAAAGGACACAAACCCAGGCCCTTAAAAGAGGTGAACTATTCCTAGGCTGGGAGTCCAGCACTCTGCCTCCCTTTAGCCTACTGCCTGCCCTTCTTCCATGCACTCCCAAATCCAACCTTCCACCCCAACCCACTTACTCTTTTGATGGGTCCATACACCTCAAACTCTCTCCGAAGTTTGGATTCTGTTGTGTCATAGTTCTACAGAAGACAGAGCTAAGTTAGATGGGAGAAGGATGCTATCCCAAAAAGCCCCTGGATAGCCCAGGATGGGAGGCGGGGGACTCACCACTCTAGCCACGAACAGAGTCTTGAAGGCATCACCCTGAGCGTTGGGATCATTGTGAGGGTCCCCTGTGCAAGAAGAAAATGTTTAAGTAGACAGTGCCCAGTCTTGGGTGGTGGGACAGAGACTGATGGGTAGAGGCTGAGGATATGAATATAGAAACTAAAAGGTGACCTGGCAAGTCTGGACACACCCTCTGGTCTCACAGAAACCTGGTGGCCTTTTACAGTAACAGATAATCCATGCTGCTGAGGCAAAAGTGACTTCAAACGAGATGTGACAGGCCTAAATGCCATTCAAAACTATCCCAGGGCAAGGTGGGCTACACAGTAACTGATCCCATGGGATCTGTCTGGAGGGTGACCTGAGCTAGCTTGCTCTCATGCATGTGACACTGCCACCCACTGGACAGAGACTGCTACTACGGCCAAAGGAAACCCATGGCAAGCAATCCCAGGGCTGAGAATGGGAAGCTCTTTCCTTCATACCCTACAGCCTCCTGGAAGAACCTGGGTCAGTGCTAAATCAATTTATGAGGGCCAAGTGGCAAAGATTCCTGCTGCTGTCCTGTCCCATTTGGCCACCTAGGAGTAAGTGTCCAGAGACCCCAAGCCAAGAATCTATTAATCAGGGCTGGAGAGATGCTCAGCAGTTAAGAGCACCGGTTCAGTTCTCCTAACTCTAGTTCCAAGGGAGCCAGCATCCTCTTCTGGCCTCTGTGGGCACTGAACAACACGGGCCAACTTACATACATGCAGACAAAACACTCATACACATAAAAAGAAATAAAAAAAATTTTTTTTTTAATCTATGAACCAATTCTAATGGGAGGTGCTGGAAGAGAAGCACCAGGAGGATGAGGCAGGACAATTGTGTTCAAAGAAAGCCTAGGCTAATAGCAATCCTCAAAAAGGTCCTAGCTCCAGCTGTTAGGTCAGGCCTGTCCATCAAAGTCCTTCTCACCAGGGTCCCTGGCACACACAATGGTGTGGAGTCCTGGGCTCTAAAGGCTGTCTTCACACAGCCCAGGCCTTTCTAAACCATGGGTCAGTCTTACACTTAGATGGCCATCACATTCTGAGAATGTAAGAATAACTTAATTTACTGAACACACACTACTAGATGTGGAGATCTTTTTCCTATTTTGAAGATGGAAACAGCACGTAACAAACCTGAGACATGGAGTTTCGAAAAGGACCGAGGCAGGCTTTATATCCCAGCTGTCCTTACAGCCCAGGCTGAAGTTTGCTGGAAGAATCTAACACACAACGCCTGAAACCGAGTTTCTGGAAAGAGGGCTTGGCTACAAGCAGCAAGTCACAAAGATCTTAACGATTATTAAAAAACAGCAGCCTGAGCCCAAATTGAAGGGAGTAACTGTCTGCAAGAGAGAACTCTGAAGACAACTGTGTGTTACCCACACTTCGTCCCATCTCTCTGACCTGCAGATACAACACTCACTATGTAGCTGGAACTGCGACAGACATTGGGATTTGGAGTTAAGCAAGACAAAAAACCCTCTGCAGTCAGGGACTAATGGAGGGAACAGCAAGGTAAAGACATCCCAAAAGGAACAACAACAGATTCTAAGGAAGAATGTTAGCAGCTTGGAAGAAAACCTGCATGGTCTTTGAGTAACAGCGGTGTTTCCTCTGCCCTCCTTTGCTACCTAGTTGCTGTCTAGTTGCCTAGACAGTCTGGACAGACTGCATCATCATTACAGACTGTATTTACCATCTTTCTTGACAAGAGCAGAGGCATTGATGTACAAGTTTCCTCAGTTATCAATTATGACCCTCCCATCATCAGAGAAACGGCAGCCACAGAATCAGCTGCAGTGTTCTTTAAATCTTAAGCCTGTGGCTACTAACATGGTGACAGAAGACAAGACCTTTCATCAAGACTTTAAGACTTTCTTCAAGTCCTTCACTGAAGAGATGCTCCTCAACATTGCTGCCCTCATTCAGGGAGCTGCTGTCCTGCTACCTGGCTCTAGCCAGAGTTCAATCTAGCGCTGCTAGAGTAGGGGAAGAAAAGGGAATCAAAGGATGATCTTTTTCTTTCTCTTTGAATAAATGGCACTTTTCTTTCCGTCTTTGTGAGCAGGGTCTCTCTACAGCCTCAGCTACCTGGAACTCACTATGTAGACCAGGTTGACTTGGAACTCACAAGAGATCCACCTGCCTCTGTCTCCCTATAAGGCAGTATTCCCCTACAAGATGTGGTGGTTCAATAGGTATGCCTACAGGGCAGATGAAGGCCAACAGAGTGCTAAGCCTCCTGAAGGGAGGCCAGGAAGTACCCAGCACAGAAATCAGGAAAACACCCCAAGCACTCTACAGGAGGTATGAAGAGTTCTTGCTTACTCCAAGGGCCCATGAATGACTGAAGTAAAAGTTACCAAATCAACAATAAACTGCAGCTAAAGGAGTGTGTTACCTAAAAGACACCAATCCAATGTGCGTATGGCATGCTTGCCCTTGTATCAGCTGTACCCTACTGTGCTGGCCACAACACCTGAGCAGGCCTCCAGGCCAGGAAAGCTCACTCTCCCTCTAAGATATCCTACCTTGAAAAGCCTCTTATTTTTTCCCACCTTAAAAATGGGAGTAACCAGCTGGGCGTGGTGGCACATGCCTTTAATCCCACCACTCGGGAGGCAGAGGCAGGCAATATCTGGGTGAGTTCAAGGCCAGCCTGGTCTACATAGTAAGTTCCAGGACAGCTGGGGCTACAGGGAGACCCTGTCTCAAACAGACCAAAAAAAAAAAAAAAAAAGAGTAACCACACCTTCTGCACCTGTAAACCCCCAAAGTCCATGACAGGAAAGACATCAGGGCTCACTAAGGGGGCAAGGACTCACTGAATGGAGGCTATCAATTGTGACAAAGCACAATAAGCTTCTATACTTAGCAAGGAGGCTTGTATGAGTACAGAAATCCTGCTGCACTGATCCAACCTTACGTTCTGCTGTGGAGGGGCTCAAACACTGAAGCAGAGAGCAGTATGGCCAAGTCCTATGAAGCTGCTTCAGTTACTAACATGGACCTAACCTGACTGATGTCTACCTTCCCCCAACCCAGCTAGAGTTTTTGGTTTTTTGGTCTTTTTGAGACAGGGTCTCCCTGTAGGCCCAGGTGGCCTGGAACTCACTGTGTAGACCAGGCTGGCCTGGAACTCAGAGATCCACCTGCCTCTGCCTCTAGAGCATTTTTTAAAATTTATTTTTATTTTACATGTATCAGTGTTCTGCCTGCATCTATGTAAGAGAATCAGTGGCGTACAATGCACGCTGAGGTCAGAAGAGTATTGGATCTACTGGAACTGGAGTTATGGACAGTTGTTAGCCACCATGTGTGTGTTTGGAACTGAACCTGGGTCCTCTGCAAGAGCAGCCAGTGCTCTTAACTACTGAGCCATCTCCAGACCTGTACACTCCCCCTCACCCATTTCAATTTCATCCCAGAACTTGCTATTTTGGTCTCTAAAGCATCACACACTTCTTTTTTAAAAAAAATTTTTTTTTTTTTTGAGACAGGGTCTCCTTGTAGCCCCAGCTGTCCTGGAACTCACTATTGTAGACCAAGCTGGCCTTGAAATCACAGAGATCCGCCTGCCTCTGCCTCCAGCCAAAATATTTGTTATTTTTATTTTACGTGTATGTGTGTATTGCCCGTGTGTAGGTAAGTGCACCCATGTCTTGCAATGCCTGCAGAGGACAGAAGCGGCTGTCAGATCCCCTGGAACTGGAGTTCTGACAGTTGTTAGCTACCATATGGGTGCTGAGATTTGAACCTGGGTGTTCTGCAAGAACAACCAGTGTTCTTAACTGCTAAGACATCTCTCCAGCCCCAGCATTACTCATTTCTAACCTCATCTCAGTCTTCATTTAAAATGTGTCAGGACGCAGAGTCAGGCAAATTTCTGTGAGTTCAAGGCCAGTCTGGTTTACATATCAAGTTCCAGGCCAGCCAGAGCTATATAGTGAGATGCTGTCTCAAAAAACAAAAAAGAGCCGGGCGTGGTGGCACATGCCTTTAATCCTAACACTCGGGAGGCAAAGGCAGGTGGATCTCTGTGAGTTCAAGGCCAGCCTGGTCTACATAGTGAGTTCCAGGACAGCTGGGGCTACAGGGAGACCCTGTCTCAAAAAGACCAAAAAAACAAAAAAGAATGGCACTTGTGTTGACTGCTCATTTTAACTGAGATTCAACTAAGCTCCAAGTTATTACTTAACTGAGACGTCTTTTGAACTTTTATCCATATCGTCCCCCTTCTCCATCCACCTCAAACTTTTGTGTTCGTTTTTTTTTTTTAAATTATTTTAACATATCTTAACTTTTTCTTTATGTGTACAAGTGTTTTGACTGCATGTATGTAAGAGCACCATATGCATGCTTGCAGAAGGCACTAGATTCCCTGGAACTGGAGTAATGGCCGATTGTTAGCCGTCATGTAAATGCTGGGACCAAATCCAAGTCCTCTGGAAGAGCAGTCAGTGCTCTTAACTACTGAGTCATTTCTTCAGCTCCACTGTGAGCTATTTGTTGAAAAAAAATAAAAATATAAGGGTCACAAGTCCGTTCTGCACAATCTCCCCCATTTTCCATTTGTTGCAAGGCCATCTGGGTAGGCAGGGAGAGGATTGGGCTTTATGCTTACACAGGATGTCACTGCTGAAGCTCCATGCAAAGTATCCCTGTCAGTCACATGCCCTAAGCACTAATGAAATCCACAAATCCTAGAATAAGGTTCAGAAAGAAGTGATTCACCAAGGCTACAGACAAGGGATGGACACCGGTCTGACCAGTCTTCAGCTACTAGAAGCAAAGCACGGACCCTCTTCTGAGCCTAGTTACCAGGCCCTACTCATATCTTCCATATCTGTAACTCCAGTTCCAGGGGATCCGACACTCTCGTCTGACATCCATGATCACTGCATGACACAGGTGCACTTCCATACATGTAGGCAATAAACTTAACGCACATAAAATAACAAATATTTTATACAACTGTCCGTAACTCCAGTTCTAGAGAATCCAATACCCTCTTCTGACCTCTGTGGACACGGCATGCATGTGGTACACTTACATACACGTAGGCAAAACACTTATACATATAAAAAGAAACAAGTGCTGTGCTTGGTAAATGCACTCTAAGTAACTGAACCAACACAGCTCTGTCAAAAGAGACCACCAGGAGAGCAGAGTACCAAGTGTGACCTGGGAGAGAAGCGAAAAGGCTGGAGGGAGAAGAGTAAGAGGGAGGAAGGAGAGGCTTACACATTTTCAGCTCTGTTTCCACTTCCTGCTGTCGCCTCTCAATCTTTTCCCGTCTCTGCAGGAGAAAGAAGTACAGTGAGCGCAGGCAGGCAAAGGTGGCTTGGTGGGAGGGGCCATCTGGAGAAAGCAGCTATGGGAGGCTGAGGAAACCACGTACCTTTCTTTCCATGCGTTCCTCCCGGGTTTCTGCCCTGGTTGGAGGAGGGGCATCTCGAGGGTCCTGAGAACAAGAAGAGGTGACAAAGGAGGAGAAGCTGTGGACATGGGACACTCAACAGAGAAAAGGCTCAGTTCCTTCCCATACATAAAAGCAAACAGCTCCCCGCCCAAAGAAAAGATGGGGGTGGGGTGGAAGGGGGCACAGATCAGGTATGTCCCATCAATCAGTGTAAATCAGACTGCTACTGATCTGTGGCAGGATCAGCATAAAAATCTTGACTATCCAGCAATTTCTACTCAAAGAAATTTTACCTCTACTAGTCATAATTAAAAAAAAAAAAATTAGTCTCATTTTGGGCCAGGAGTGCTGGTGCACACCTTTAATCCCAGCACTCAAGAGGCCAAGGTAGTGAATATCTGAGATTGAATCCAACCTGCTCTATTGTGAATTCCAGGCCGGAGAAGGCTACAGGGAGACCCTGTCTAAAAAAACAAATAAACACATAAATAATCTAGACTCACTCTGAAAGTACTTCAAAAACAAAACGAAAAACCAGTCAGGTGTGGTGGCGCAACCTTTAATTGCAGCAGCTGGATGACAGAGGCAGGTAGATCTCTGATTTCCTGGCCAACTGGGGCTACAGGGAGACCCTGTCTCAAAACAAAAAACAAACAAACAAAAAAACAAAACAAAACTGAAACTACAAAAAAAAAAAAACAAAGAACAGAAATACTCATCTGTTCTTTGTCACCATGACACAGGTGACATCTAGCTGGAGAGCACAGTAGCTTGGCTCTGAGTCAAGAAACCTGCCACTTCCCACACTTCCAAATATGGTTTACAGAGAACCAAGTGCCACAGGAAGGAAACAAAGCCAAGGACATGGACATATCTCAAACAACAAAGTAGATAGGATGAGACTCTGAAGTAAGACAGCCAGACACCCTGAGCCACAGCAAACCTTGAGGTCTCATCAGTCTCTCATTAAACAGCATCACTGTGCCAGACCTATTAAACTCATTTCATTGGCTCATAACACTTCCCAAGTACAGGTTCATCCGGGCTGGCAAATACCACTATTCTGTTATCTAGTAATTTCTGCTTTTCCAACGGAGCACCAGAATGTTCCCTATAAGATTTCTGGTTGTCTGCCAGCATTTCTAAGATGTGCTCTGATGGTGAGCACAACCAGATTTTCAAATGAAAGGACTGAGATCCAGGAGCTCAGGTGATCCATTCACTCATATCCAGCACAGAGAGCTGAACTCCCACACAGCCTTACACTGTGGGAAATACTCTCAAGCTCAGTAGACACTGTCTTATTAAGACAGACTCTCCCTGTAGCCCCAGCTGTCCTGGAACTCACTATGTAGACCAGGCTGGCCTTGAACTCAAGAGATCTACCTGCCTCTGCCATTCGAGTGCTGGGATTAAAGGCATGCACCACCACACCCAACTTAAAATTTAAAAAAAATTTTTTATTTTATGCGTATGTATTTTGCCTGCCACTGTATGTATGTGCACCACATGTCTGCAGTATCTGCAGAAGCCAGAGGGGGTATTGGATCCCCTAGAACTGGAGTTATAGACAGTTGTTAGCTGCCATGTGGATCCTAGGAAACAAACTTGGGTTCTCTGTAAAAGCTCTGAGTCCTGTCCCTCCAGCCCCTAACACTGGCTCTTAATGACAAAAAATCAGTTAACTACAGCAACAACTCCTAACATTTACTGGTGACCTCAAACCAAACCCTTTAACACCAATTCTACCCTCAATACTCCATCAATACGATGTTGCTGCTACCACTTGCTAAAGGCTAATCAATGCATTCAAAAGACAGACTATCTGGGCATGGTGGTACACATTTGCAATCCCAGCACATGGGAGATAAAGCCAAGAGGTTCAATGAGTTCAAAGCCAGCCTTAGCTACAAAGAAAAGTCAAAGACCAGCCAGGGCAACACGAGAGGCTTTTTTTTTAAAAATGTGTATGCATGTATTGCCTACATGTAGGTAAGTGCACCCATGTCATGCAATGCCCTCGGAGGTCAGAAGAGGCTGTCAGATGCCCTGGGACTGGAGTTACAGATAGTTGTCAGCTGCCATGTGGGTGCTGGGATTTGAACCCAGGTCTTCTGCAAGAACCACCAAGTGTTTTTAATTGCTGAGCCATCTCTCCAGCCCTGAGACAGTGTCTTAAAAAAATAAAAAACAGCTGGGCATGGTGGCACATGCCTTTAGTCCTAGCACTCGGGAGACTGAGGCAGGTGGATCTCTGAGTTCGAGGCCAGTCTGGTCTACATAGTGAATTCCAGGCCAGCTGGGACTATAGGGAGACCCTGTCTCAAAAACACAAAAATAAATTAAAATAAACTACGTAAAGGCACACTTGCCAAGCTGACTAGTCATGTGGGTCAAGGACTACCACATCCCAAGGCCCTGTAAGAAATATTAGCAACCCTACATAGACAAGGAAATTAGCCAAGTCTGGTGGCACACCCGTACTGAGAAGAGGACGCTGCAAGTTCAAGGCCACCCTGGGCAAACTGTCTCAAAAATCAACCAAAAAAGTGCCAGCAAGATGGCCTAGCAGGTTAAGGTACTTGCCACAGAAGCTGAGTTTGATCCCAGGACCCACAGAGTGGAAAAATAGACTTCTACAAGATGTTTCTGCCCTCCACACGTGTGCTACTGGTGTATATACACACACACACACACACACACACAAAAAAAAAAAAATCTTTCCTAAAAAAGAAAATCAGGCCAGAGAGCAGGCTCCGTGGTTTAAGAGCACTGGCTGCTCTTCCAGAGGACCCAGGTTTGATTACCAGCACCCACATGGTAGCTAACAACCATCTGTAATTCCAGTTCCAGGGGATTCGATACACTCTTCTAACCTCCTTGGACACTGCATGACACAGGTGCACTTAACAATACATGCAAGCAATACACTCATGCACATAAAATAAAATAAGAAAATCAACCTCTATTACACACAAACACAAAGCAGACTGGAAAAACCGGATCAAAAAAGGCAAAAGTCACCTGCCCAAACCACACACCTAGAAATACTTGGAAGCACCCAGAACCCATCTCACTCCTGGCATGCCCAGGGAACTCACCTCAAACTCTCGGATATACGGTGCAATACCACAGTAAGGCTGGTTATGGTGCTTCTCATGAGGCAGCTTCTCCAGGGGTGGCAGGTATGGGATAGGGTCTCGGGGGGCAAAGAGGGCCAGAAGGTTGGGCGGCAGGAACTGGGTCATCTTGCCAACCCTGAGAGCAGAAAAGGTATGTTCAGGGGCTAACAGCGCGGGGGCTCGCTCCAGGAGCCTGGCCCTCCTACAACAGGGAAGGGATGCTGACAGCCAAGACAGCTCGAGGACATCCCCCAGAAAACGGCAGTCTGGGGCTAAAGAGCTGCTCAGACGTTAAGAGCACTGGCTGCTCTTGCAGAGGACCCGGTTCCGTTTCCAGCACCCACATGGCAGCAAACAGCATTGGACAACAGGAGTACACTTACATACATGCAGGCAATACACTTATAAAATAAAAATAGCTTTTTTTTTTTTTTTTTTTTTTGGTATTTCCGAGACAGGGTCTCCCTGTAGCCCCAGCTGTCCTGGAACTATGTAGGTCAGGCTGGCTTTGAACTCTCAGAGATCCTCCTGCCTCTGCCTCCCAAGTGCTGGGACTACAGGCGTGCGCCACCACACCCGGCTAAAAATAGTATTTTTAAAAAATCTTAAAATACAAAAGAAAAAGCCTGGAGGACACCAGGAAACCAAAGCTGAAAAAGGAGTTCCGAGGAATGCCGTCACGAGGTGCGCAACCTCGGGGAGCTGCGCACAAAAGTCCTAGAAGCCTGGAGGGGGGGACCAGCAGGGCTCCTGGGGCCCAGGTCATGTCAGCTGCTGGCTACAGACCTTGGAGAAGACCACGGGGCAGGTGTTTCATTTGACTCAAGGGAGGCGACATAAAGAGCCAATGCCCCAAGCCAGGAGCCTCTGGGTCATAGATCAAGAAGCCTAGAGACGAAAGGGATTATGGGTAGGGGTCGATGCCACGGAGAAGCAAGGAAAAAAGGCAACACAGGTCGCAAGGGCCTGTGGGTAAGGGACCGAGGGAGTTAGGGGGCCGGCGGTTTGAGGGACCAGAGCTCAAGTGCCCAGAGAACTCTGGGTAAAGGGAAAACAAGAAGGCAGAAGGCGGGAGGC